CAGCAACGCGCGTTGCTGCTCAGTACAGCGCGTTGCTGCGCTGCAATTCCAACAGCGCTCTAAGGCTATAAACGCGAACGCAGCCACAGACGCCGATCGATTCCCTTCCACGAAGGTTCGATCGATGAGCGCCGGCAGTTTGTCGTCTCGAGTCTCACCTATCATCCTCTTTCCTCGTAACCTCTCTCTTGAGACTCGACCCGGCACCCATCGCTCGAGCCTTCGCGGGCGAGAATCGATCAGCGCCACCCGTCTACGGCTGCATTCGCGTTTATAGCCTTGGAGCACAGTTGTAATTGCAGCGCAGCAACGCGCTTTGAGCCTTAACGCTGCCAAAGCAGTCGGGAAAGTCGGCGAACAGACTGATCATCCCCAAGAACAGCGCTTGGTTTGTGATGTAATTCAAAGCTCTTTTCACAATCACTGCAAAGAGGATGTTCAGGGTATATGTCAAGACAATCGTAACATTCCGCGCGGGTGGGCGTGGCGAGCGATGCCGCGCCTGAAGAACGAGCTGTCCCACGTGGGAGCGCCCCACTAACTTTCGAGAGCGTTTTGTTAGTGTGAATGGAACTAATGCAATCCGAATTTAAGGGTCATAACGATCAGATAACTTATCCGACAACATGAATAATCTCTCAGCTCTCTGTTCATTAGGTGAGTGCAAAGAAAATAGCCATAGTAGTGAATATATAAATGAGGTATGCCTTTCAAGTCGCTATGCAGTACCATGAGGCAATACCGAATCGTGGGAATTAGAGGTCTTTCAACGTCGAAATTCAAAAGTGCTCTATTGTGCAGCTCAGATCCCTTCAGGGCACATTCCGCGATTGTAATTTGTGAGTAACGGAAGACAAATGCGAATGTGCAGGTGCTGGTTGAGTCACCAGCGAAAAAAAAGCAGGAAAAGTGGCAAAACCGCTTCAAAGACCACATTCGGAACCCAGGAAACGACCGCTTCGCCATAGAGGGCGTGAGACTCTTTGAGAAAAAAAACGTGCTTGAACGAGTTCTCAGGACACGAACGGCTTTATGGCAACAAATGTGCTCTCTTCGTTACTGCTACCGGTCCTGCCCAGTTCTTGTAGAAAAGGACAGGGCGCGAGCTGGGGGGTAATGTTTCTTCTATATGCCTCCTCCCACCTATACCCTTGAGCGGGCCGGTCCTCTCCGGTCACCTATCGAAAATTGTGAAATTTCTGGCCACGCCACCGCCACCCGACAGATGGGAAGGAACAGCGCCATTAAACATGAAAAATCACATACTTTTATCGTGACACCGTCCTTTAGGAGACCCCGACGATGTTGTGCTCCGGGATGGAACTGTACCCGAGTGCATGTCACAAAGTTGTGTGGCGCTAGCTGGACTCTCATCGTTCGTTGGTAACCATACGAGTGTGAGAGAATTGTATCGTCAACGTGATTTCTTACAAGAACACGTCATAAAAGGGCGTGACATCGGTCATTGGGCGGGATGTCAGCTACCTCACGAGCCTCTACCGTCTACTTTCACACAATTTCGAACAGCAAAAGTGAGACACCGTAGATGGGGTCGCACAGTCGGAAGGACTTACAAAACCCAGGCAATCGCGAAATGTGCCAATACTCGTCCTGTCTAAGGCAGTAACCATGAAGTGTGCGATGCAGTAGTGCAGTCGCACAACACGACCGCTCGCACTTCATAGTTACTGCCTTGCTTACGACTGTATATATAGGAATCATGACTGCACCTCAGAGAAATAAGTGTTACACTAGGGCCGTACCTCATTTACCTCGGTTCTTCAAACACAA